AACACGCACACTCGAGTGCTCATAAATACACACACACACAAAGACAAACTGTGCAGCAGGACACAGTGGGTATGGACTCCTGTTGTGGTTTATGGTTGCCAAATAATGATGGCAGGGAATCAGGATCCTGCCAGGTTTAAAGGTAGCCAATAGCATATCAGTATAAGGATGACAGAGGGCCAACTCTGACTTGTTGTATAGCGCCACCAATTGAGCTCAAATTGATGTGTCTCTTTCCACTGAAAGCCTTTTTTATAGTAATGCATCTTTAAAAAAAAATATAGATTTCCTGTATTTTGGCATTTATTTAATTTGTAACTCAGGTTTATTAAATTGACCCCAATGCTGTGTTTTTTGGGGTGCAAGGCTGCTACCAATCACATTGCAATCAAACATTGATCAGTGCAACAGTGCAAATAGGACAATATTTCATTAATATGCAGAGGAACTTTTTTTCCCCCAATTTGTTTCTCATATTTTGATGATGTTAATGACTCCATCCAAGGGTCAACTTTTGTCTGCATGAAAACGCTCTGCATGCACGTATGTTTATCAGCTGTTCAAGGTCCCTTTCCTAGATTGGGACATATGCTTCATAGAGTCCCGTGGACACACACACACACGCACACACACACGACATACATGCAGCAATATGCACCTCAAAGGTACTCATAATGATAGAATAAAGAAAAAGGAAACCTGGAGCTTACTAAGAAAATATACTGATTATATGACCACATGACCTATCTGCCAGACATGATTATTTCGAGCTATATCAGAAAACCAACTGCGGGTACATTTCAAAGGAGCTTCTTTCCGCCAATGACTCTCAACCTCCAAGAATAATAGGTATCAAAATATGAAGTGCTTATCTCCATGCTGCAGCCATAAATCTGCATAATGTGGCATAATGTTGATCTCTAATACTACATGAAGTTTCATATCAAGTAATAAATATGACATCACCTTAATAGGTTATTTTTTATGGAATAAACCAAAGCACTGAAGATCAATGAAATACGTATTTTTACATATTCTAAAAGCCTCTTACATTACACAGCCAACGACTCAAGACTGAATAGGTCAAATCTCCTGCATTGTTTGTAATATATTGAAGAAAAAGGTGTTGGGTAAGCAATAAAGTTCTATATTCGACAAAGTTTGCAGGGTTAGGGCAGTTTCCCGACTTTCTCCTTTCCTCCATGTGCATTTGAAACAGTTCTGCCAGAAACCTCTACTCCTCTTCTGTACTCTCAAGAAATAAAGCATTTTACTGTACCTTTAGTGGTACGAAGGCTTATCTGTAGGTACGTACCATCTATGGTACTGCAAATGTACTCTCGACAAGAGTACTTAAGTCTTAAGCCTAAAGAGACCCACCTTTAACCTCTGGTGATACCTAATGTATTGGTGCAAGATCTGACTTGTTTTTGGGGTTTTTAAAAAGGTAAAAAAAAGAAACTGGGTACCAACTAATTTGTATGATATATTTAATTTTTATATTTTTGTATATTTAAGGACAGAATTTCTAGGTGAAGTCAAGTGGCAGAAGGCTTCCACTTGGGTGCATCTCCTGTCTGCTTTTCGCAGATGATGTGGTTCTGTTGGCTTCATCAGGTGGTGGCCTCCACCTTGCACTAGAGTGTTTTACAGCTGAGTGTGAAGCAGCAGGAAGGAGAATCAGCACCTCCAAGTCTGTGGCCATGGTCCTCAGCCTAAAACTTCAGGGTCAGGGATGAGTTATTGCCTCAAGTAGAAGAGATTAACTATCGTGGGGCCTTATTCATGAGTGAGGGGATCATGGGAGTGGGAGATCGACAGATGGATTGGTGCTGTGGCTGTGGTGACGCAGACACTGTACCAGTCCACCATGGGTGTCAATCTTCTCACCTATGGGTAGTGACCGAAAGAAAGAGGTTATAGACTCATTTCCCCCCAAAAATGAGTTTTTTTGGAAGGGTGGTTGGCCTTTCCTTTAGAGATAGGGTGAGGAGGGCCATCTGGGTGGGGCTCAGAGTACAGCTGTTACTTGTCCACATCAAAGGTAGCAAGTTGAGGTTGTTCCAGGTAAGGTGTTCCGGGCATGTCCCAGTGGGAGGAGGCCCTGGGGCAGACACAGGACATACTGAAGAGATTATATCTCTCAGTTGGCCTGGGAATGCATTGGCATCCCCCAGACAAGCTGGAGTAGGTGGCCGGGGAAAGTTTATGATGCTGCCCCCAAGACCCGGCAGCAGATAAGCAGAAGAAAATGGACAGATATTTTAATTTTATGTTATATTTTGTAAAAGAAGCAAAGCAAAGTGGAGAAATTTGTGTTTGGCTGATTATTTTTATGTTGTAACAGTACCTCTTGGCAGTATACCATCAGACATTAGGTGCTTGGTGACAAGCACGCCACATTTGCTTGACTTGGTATTTTGCAAAATGAAGTTGCAGCATTATTTGGAGTGAGCCCTAGAATCATCTCCAAATTTAAGGGGATATAAACAGACTTTTCAGTAGTATAATATTTATTGCCAAGAAGCACTGTTACATCAATAAAATAGTTCAGTTTGCAGATTTTACAGCTTTGTTGCTTTACATTCCTTATGTCACTTTGCTAAGTTAATTTTATACATAATTATATCTATTTGTTTTTAATTTTATCCAGTCATCTCCCTGATTTGCATATTAATAACAATTTCCAGTCTTACCCACCATTCAATCCACAATTAATTCCACATGCCTGAAGGGAGGAAACGCTGGAGGCACAGTGAGAAAACATGGCACCATCATCAGATGAAGAATAAAGAGAGTTACCAATAGAGGGTAGATTTTTAGGGACAGAACCTCAGTTTGAGATTGTACAGTAATACAAAGTAATGACCATTATGAATTTGAGTTATGAAGTTATAGTTTTAGAATCATTTTTCTCTAAAGATTTTAGTGATACAGAAAAGTATCCATCTGTTCTAAACTGACCTGAGACAGGATTTTGTGGTGAAGTGTAATGTGAAGAATATTAGCATCTTCAATCAGTCAAATGCTTTGTCTGCTCATTTTTCCAGAAATGTTTCAATTTTTGTCTTTATCATATTTTTTTTTCATTTTTCTCTTTTCTTGTGTTTAGTCATCTTCCTCTACTTCAGCCTTCTTCCCTTTATTCTATTGCTCTCTTACTCTTCTCTTTTCCCTCCGCTTGTCTCTCTCCCTTTAAACTGTTCCCTATGTGCCCACGCACCATAACCAAACCAGCCTGCTTATTCATGTTTCACTGAGGTATCACTTTATTTCTGTGCTATTATTTTTTTCTGTGTAGTCGCCTCGGTATGACTTGCCCCAGACAGCGCTACGCTGTCCCACCCTCATTATATTTTCACACTTCGCTTCCCTAGGACACAAAATGCACACACATTTCCACACACACCAAACGCATTATGTGTGTCTTTTGTTTATGCCAGCTTGGGTTCAATGGAAATCCATCTGTGTGTGCGGTTTTTTTTGGGGGTTTTTGTACGTGTGTATAGGGAAATGTAATAATGTATTCTTTTTTTTGGTGTTTTTATCATAGTAGGTTGCCATGTAGGCTATTCATTCATGATAGTTTCCACAGTATGCTTATTGTTATCATCAGGAACTGTCATCACTACAAAAACACTGCACTATAGGCATAAAACTTTCGTAAGTAGGTTCAAATTTTGTTATCTTTTAAAAATGGATAAACTTTGGTATATATTGATAGCAAATCAAACTTAACTTTTATTTTAAATATATTGCTAACCTGCCAAAGCTTAGCTTAAACAGACAATAAAACACCCTACTGTCACCCAACTCAATCCTGCTAAATCCAAATTGATGGAAAGAAGGAGGCACTTTTCTTAAAGTGTGCAATGTCCACTTTAAACCAGAAATAAATAATAAGAATCACAGAATATAGTGGAATTAAAATATTTTGAAATACCCTGTACAGTATAAGCAAAACTATTTTAACATTTGGTGAAAAAGTTCTTTTGTAGAATCTGGTAAGCAGGTGTTTAACAAAATAAGTTTCCAGGGCATTACGTTCATACATCTGAATCTCTGGCAACATTTATGGTACTGTAACCGAAGACCAAAGCTAGCTTAAAAAAAAGAACCATTCTCTTCCTTGACTTTACTAAGCTGTAACATAATTAAATATTTATGGTGGGGGCATTTAGCTTACATTCACAATTAAACAGGTTACAGTAAGTGTTCAATTCTGTGCTTCAGTGCATTACATAATAAAAATCTGACAAGCCAAACAGATGAAGGTTTAATGTAAGAAATAAAAAAAACCCCACTCCCAACACAGTGCTTTCATCAGAATTCCTTGCCCTCTTTGGAAGTGAGATACTGCATCAAAACCACAGTAATCTGAGGCTACAAATGCCCAATGTTTATGAAATGTCTGGCAAATATGCTGGAAGATGGATACAAATTGAATGTAAATATATGGAAATAAACTGCAAAGGAGCAATATGTCATTTTTGATATATGCCTGTGTAAGGCCTTTAGAATAGGGATGAAAAACAGCGATGCATTAATGTAACCTGTGATGCTCAGTCTAACACTAATATATAAAACTGTGAGCTAATGAGTTCGCACATATTTTGCCTTGTAAAGAAACTATAGAGAAATACAGTGTATTTGGATCTGTGTTGGTGGTTTTTAACACGTGTGATTTATTTAGAAAAGCTAATTTATGTGTGCATATGTTTATATCAGTATATGTAAAACTGAATAAATAACACAGCCCAGTGAGCCTTGCATTTAAATACTTGAATTTATGTTGGCAGATGATTAGCTGCTTTGGATTTCTGTAAAAATTGAGACTGTAAACAGTAAACATTAGATATTTGTTTTATGAAATGAGTGTTTTTATAATTCTAATGTTGTTAACTATTTTCTTTTCATTTTTCTTGTCCCCATCCTTTTTCTCTTATGCTTTTTTTCTCCTTATTTTTTATTTTCCTCATTTATCACCCATCTCTCATCAGTGTCTGACAGCCCATCGGTAGCAGCAGGCGGTGGACCAGGCGGCGGGCCGGACATCTCCCAGTCCCACTTCTCCTCCTCTCTTCCCACCTACCTCCCTGTCCAATGCCAACTAAGTGGCGCTGATTCCGCCTTCTTCCTGCGAGAAGCCAATCAGGAGGTTATGCGAAATGGCAGCCTATCATCACGGACTGAGCCATTCTTTCTCCACCAGCTAGAACCAGGCATTTCTGCCCCACACTCTCTGCCAAGTGTAAACTGCAGTTATGGAAATCTGAGCACTGAGCAGCCAATCCCTGTGGAATTGCTTCAAGGTCCACCACCACACCTGCTCCTTTCAACAAACCGTGTGACGTTGAACTGGAAGGTCAAAGGTCAGGTAGTGGTGCCTAAAGTGGGATCAACAAGGCCCTGGATACAGGTATTGTATTGTTTTGTATTGTTTACTTGTTTTTTCAAACATATACTGTCTTAACTTTGAAACTTCACATACAATACACTTACCCATTCAAGAATCAAGAAGCACTAATTACATCATTTGGTAATTTATTTACCTGTATGTGCTTGCATTCAGCTTTATTTAATACTTAAAAATTGAATCCATTTATTATTCAATGAAAACAATGTAAAACCTGCTCTTAGAGACATGTTTTTTTTATCCTGTTAAACCTGCTTTTTGGCCACTAGGGGTGATAGGGAGTAAAGTTGTAATAGAAAGCATCTCAGGCAAACACATGTTTGCATATTTGGGAGAAAAGAAGGATATTAGTATTTATCATATTTATATCCATCTGATTGGAGAAGCTCCCATATTCAATTTCTGTCCTCTCTGTTATGGTTTCCTCAAATTCTGAAAGGAAACAGTACAGTTCTGTAGCAGCTAAATACTCCATTATGTTCACAGGCTAGTTGCCCATTTTTTGTGCCATACAGCAGGGAAATGTAAGAGCAGTGAGAGTAAGCCAAAACAATAAAGCTGTGGTTCAGAAAATTAAACCAATGAGCTGTAAAGCTAAGAGGCTGCAGAGTCAGGTGATAATTCTTTATCACTTTATCACCAGGAGAAATACCCTTTACACACAGTAATTTGGTCCAGTGCTTATACAACATAAAAACATTAAGTTGCCCAGCAGCTAATGAATAGACGAATATCTGAGATCTGTAAATGACAGGAGAGAAAATGGTTTTATAAAACAGAGAGATAGATAATTTATAGTCTTTGATTGCGTCTTACTAGCTGTCCAGATTTTTCTATTATGACATTATAGGTTTTGTTTCTTCTTCAGGTATTATTTTACCTGGTAGGGCGGCGTTGGGATGAGCCTGAACCACCTCCATCATCCCTCCTCCCATGCATCAGGGCCTTGGCCATCCGTGACACTAGTGAAGCAGCACCCTCGGCAGGCTGCCGACTCATGGGACCATCTGGTATCTGTGTTGTCCGTCTGGAGATTCCCCCAGCTTGGTTTACACCACCACAAGTGAGAAAGAGACCTCCTGAAGTGGCGCTACCATCAGTGGATGTGTATTACTCAATTATACCAGTGGAAGGTGCTGGTCAAGAGTGTCCCTCCATTGTTAATGAGCCATGGAAAGCTCCAAGTGCAAACCCTGGGCCACATGGTGGTCTGGCTATGGGCCTTGGGGGGCAGTGGAGCACCCTAGTGGATGAAGGTCTTCAAGACATGCTGAAAGTTGGTTCTGTTGCAATGAGCATGGGCCCTGTTTCTGCCAAAGGAGAAAGACTACAAATAGATGACAATGTGGAAGTTTTGGAGCCTCCCAGTCCTGTTCGGCTTGGCAGAACAGTGGCTTTTGCCATCTACATGAAGACAACTTCAAATACGGAACAGTTTACATTGAGGTGGGAATGCATACACTTTCACTTTATCGTCTGGCTTCGTTTTTGTTTGTCATTCTGATATGCATTTCAGTTTCACTCTGGTTCTTTTTCTGTCATCTTCACTTATTTCTTTCCTTCCCATCCGCTCTCTCTCTTCTTTCAACACCACCGCCTCCCGAGGTTGATGGCTGTCACCTTTGTGTACTCAGCCTCTTTCAGGAGCCAGCAATGCAAATAACAACTTCATGAATATTCATGTGTGATCCAAGGAGGAAAGAAAACACTGAAAATGAAAAGCAGGAAAGGGAAAGGGTAACACTGAGGGACTTAAGGTTGGGAAGAGAGACAAGTATAAGAAAAGGTAAAACAAAAAGTCATGCAAGGTCAGCTACATTACGTTTGTTCTGACATAAGCAGCAGGATGTTTTCAGGTGGCTGTTTGTAGGGGGAATAAAATCTTTTCTGGTGACATAACGTTTATAACCCCTGATCTTGAGCTATTATGGAGATCTGCATTCAGTCTCTGCCTCATCATTTCACTGTCTTTAGGGATTTCAGGCTGACAAATGATAGATGTGCAGATTTATCATTCTATAAAATGTACATCCCAACACACATTGATGTGGATTGCTGTGGTATTACCATAAAATTGTACTCCTACGAGGGTTAAAACAATTCAGGATATTTTGGGGAGCTTTGTGAACCATGTTATGACTCCCTTTGTCACATTAGGCTTGGCTTACTGTGTTTTAACATTTGCAAAGGATTTCATTTGGTTTAGCTAGTGAAGGCTGGACAGCAAAAAGTACTCGGAACAGCTTTAGCTGATGCACATTTCCAAAGGATGTGTTGCCTCAATATATTTTCTGGTAAGTAAGGTGTCTTGAGTTGTTTCCACTCATGTATCAGGCGAATATCAGGATAGTCAAACATTTGTAGTTGTGTTTTCTCACATGTAACACATAGCAAGAGATAGTCAGCCTCAGAATCCTACAACTGGAAACAATCGGTTTGCTTTAGACAGGGCTGCTGCCTGAGTAGAGCTTTCAGGAGGCAACATGTGTGACATCCATTTACTCGTTGCAAATTCACTGGACAATTATCTGCTGTATTTTCACATGGTGCAATAATGTCTACACGGCGTAGTGGTTTGCACATTTGCCTTTGTATGCAAAAATCCTCAGTTCAAAATCAGAACAAGACATAAACGTACCCTCAGTGGGTCATAAGGTATCATACTCTTAGTGTTAGTCCCAAGCTTCCAAAAAGGAATCTGTGTTAAATCAAAAATGTGGTTCCAGCTGCAGTGGAGAGCCTTGGGAGACGAGTGAACAGCCAGAAGAACCTTTATTCTTACATGTGTGCAGTTGGACATAACTCGGACTTGGGAACTGCCAGGTTTAAGACAGCCAGACTAATTGATTATTCATATATACTTCCAGCAGGTGATCTAACTTGATGCCTAATTCCTTTTTTTTTGGTACTGCACATTTGGACCATTTATGTTAAGTAAACTGATTTATGTAATCAAGGGACATATTTACTACCACAGACAGTCAATTAAAAATTAAGATTGATATTAAGCAAGTCAAAATCCTTTTACCATCAATTTACACTTAATGTGATAGTTCATCTTTAACAACCACCAAAGTTTATTGTTGTGTACTTACGCTATTAAGAGATATTTTGGAATGGTTGGCATACACAATTGAGTAATTTGCATCACACGAACAGTTGCAACAAGGCTAGCAGGGGAGTCGGTAAAACACTGGTTATACACATTCAGAGTCACCATAAGGA